ATCATAGGAAAATCAAGAAAAAAAATGCATTTGTGTATTATCGTCAGGAAATAAAATAGGAAGGGAAATTCACATCAGGAAAAAAGGAAAATATATGTTACATTAGCATTTGTTATGAGGGTAGAGGGAGGTGCACACAACACGGTACTGAAGGACATTGAGATATATATACACACACAGGTGGGAGTAAGGGAAGGTAGGTGAGGATCCAGTGTTTATTTTGATTTGTTTGGACACCTTAATGTGTTTGGTTTGGTTGTGTCTATGCCCGTCTTAAGACACAGTTCACTGGCAGTAGTACCGTGGAGATCCCTTTACAGGAGGTGGAGGGAGGTGCTGTAATACTCTCCCTTATAAACAAACACAGTTCAGGATGTTTCAAGGTCATTGTTGATGATTTGTGCTGACCTGCATTCACCTGGAGGTCATTGATGTTGATTCAGTTTGACTCACTTTCACCTGGAGGTCATTAATGTTGATTCAGGTTGACTCACATTCACCTGGAGGTCATTTATGTTGATTGAAATTGTCCCACATTCACCTGGAGGTCATTAATGTTGATTCAGGTTGACTCACATTCACCTGGAGGTCATTGATGTTGATTCAGTTTGACTCACATTCACCTGGAGGTCACTGATGTTGATTCAGGCTGCCTCACGTCTTATTGACTCCAGGTGTTGTCATCGCAGGAAAATTGAGGCAGAAACCAACTTGTAGCTCTTGACAGTAACTTTTGTGAGGTAATGTTTCCCTGGCTCTCTTCTCGTGTATGTCACCTTGTGTAGGGAGTGAGAGACACTAGGTGAGTTTATGTCACCTTGTGTAGGGAGTGAGAGATACTAGGTAAGTTTATGTCACCTTATGTAGGGAGTGAGAGATCCAATCTTCAATAGTATTCACCAGGTTTTGTTCTCAACTAAATTTATACACACTAATGAAAAATACTGTATATACATGTCACACACTACATGCTGTTCCTCTTCAGATAATTAGTTTGCCATTTGATAATTATAAAAAAAAAATTAGGGCAATTGTAATTTAAATCAAATGAAGGTGAGTCTGTTTGTCATTTTACATATGAATACAAAAATGAGGCTAAAACGTTTATCCTTTTAAGAAGATTGACTTTGCCTTTTTGCTCAAAGTCTCATCCCATAAATGGGTTTAGTTTATGAGTGATTGAGCTCTTTTGTCTTTTACTCATAACTTTACTGCTATTTGTGAGTGGATTGTTTCCTGTATTCAATTACGGATAGAAATAATTCAGTGCCGTGATTAGCAGGTAAATAGCATCCAGAATTATAGTTGTTTAGAGAGAGAGAGAGAGAGAGAGAGAGAGAGAGAGAGAGAGAGAGAGAGAGAGAGAGAGAGGCTGTTTTGATTATTATTTCGTATCAATTCGCCTTCCTGAGGGTAAAGTTAATGTGTCTTGTTGTTGTTGTAGATGTTTTTGTAGTTGTTATTGTTGTGGTTTTTGTTGTTGGTAATGTTATTCTTGTTGTAGCTGAAGTTGTAGGTATTGTTATAGTTTTTGTTCTAGTTTTAGTTGTTATTGTTGTCGTTGTTATAAAATTTCTCTGTGCGTCAACAACTTAACTCTCCGAGCACGTGTACTAAGTCAGGTCTTTGAACACGTGTACAGTAAGGTCTTTGAACACGTGTACAGTAAGGTCTTTGAACACTGTACTAAGTAAGGTCTTTGAACACGTGTACAATAAGGCCTTTGAACACGTGTTTGGTGTTGAGTAAAGAGTGTTTGGTGTTGATTAAAGAATGTTTAGTGACGATGTTGACGATGTTGGCGCTACGTGTTGACGATGTTGGCGCTACGTGTTGACGATGTTGGCGCTACTTATTGACGATGTTGGCGCTGCGTATTGACGATGTTGGCGTACGTGTCGATGCTGGCGCCACATGCTGACGATGTTGGCGCTACGTATTGACGATGTTGGCGCTACGTATTGACGATGTTGGCGCTACGTATTGACGATGTTGGCGCTACGTGTTGACGATGTTGGCGCTACGTATTGACGATGTTGGCGCTACGTATTGACGATGTTGGCGCTACGTGTTGACGATGTTGGCGCTACGTGTTGACGATATTGTTGCTACATGTTGATGATGTTGGCGCCCCGTGGTTGATGCTGTCGTCTCTTGTGGTGATGATAATGGTGGTGATGATAGTAGTGAGTGCGGAGGGTGTGTGTGGGCGCACTTCTCACAACACTGCGCAGCAAGTGACGATGAAGGCCACCATGAGGAAGGCAGACAACCTCGGAGCGCACACACAGCTGGAGTTGGTCTGCATGGCTGCCGGATGTTCACCTGAAGAAGGCGGACCAGGAGGGAGGAAAGAATTATTATTAGTCAATCAGATCTTCTTATTAAGTTGATAGATAGTTATGGGGCAGTTAGATAGTTATGGGGCAGTTAGGTAGTTATGGGGACATTTAACTATATCACTTATCTCTGTATGGCATAGAACGTCACTAAAGTTATTAGTTCTAAGTATATCATAATGTACAGTACCTGAACTTTACTTGCACACACACACACACCATGTACACCTACTTATCTCAACACCTACACACCATGTACACCTACTTATCTCAACACCCACACACCATATACACCTACTTACCTCAACACCTACACACCATGTACACCTACTTATCTCTACACCTACACGCCAAAACAACCATGTTAAACTACCCAACACCGTTCTAAGCCAACCTTTATCTATATTAATCTCTGCATAACCACACAGGCCTCGGAGCATTGTCTTTACTGCATAAGATTCAAATGAAGCTTCACCACCCATTGTGTAACCTTGGGCCTTTCCCCCTTCCAGCATCTTCCTCCTCTCACACACACACACACACACACACACACACACACAGGATCATGACCACGACCTTCTCACTCACTCGTCGCCTCTCACACCTGTAGTTAATCAATGGATAGACTCTACTCAACACCGTGTTTTTTAGGATAGGTAATGTTGTGCCTTTACTCTTGGGGAGGTTGGTGTAGGAGTTAATGAATAGTTTTTAAGGTTTTTGTGTTTAACTCTTGGGTTTTATATTTGAGGATTGGTGATATATTTTTGTGTGTAATGACGTGTTTGTGTTTCTATGCAAGGTTTTTGTTGTGTGATAGTAGCAGGTCTCTCTCTCTCTCTCTCTCTCTCACCTGTCCAGCACGTGTAGGGTCGCTATGGCAGGCTCCATCCTCAGGCTGACAGGTGAAGGTACCGGTGTCAGTGGCCGGGCGTTCTGCAGGAGGAGGAAGCTGGTGGTGGTCTCTCCGCTCCTCCACCACGCTCACACTCGAGGAGACGTATAGCTGATGGTCTGCGAAGTGAGTGCAGTCTCTCTCTCAACATATCCTAACCCCTACCTCACTAAATTTATCCAAACCGATCTAAAGTTATCCTAGATTAATAAAATGTGAAAGTGGGTCCCATAAGTATGACTGCCAATTACACACACTCTGTACTAAGCCTTCGGTACACAATGGCCGGTACTGCACTCCATCGCCTTCACTTCCCCAGCTTAGGTACTCATTTACAGCTGGGTGAACTGGGAATGCCCGGGGATCGAACCAATGACCTTGGAACATGAGTCGAGCGCTGTATCCACCCGACAGCCACGTTCTTTATCCTAACTGCACTATACCTAAACTGTTTTAATTAAATTTAACTTATATTAACCTAAGCCATGTTTTTCGTCTGCTAAATTGGGTTACGGGATTAATGGTGGGTATTAATCTGTCTTCAATTATTTGGAAGCGATTAATCAGGGGAGTTAACTGGGCAAGTGGGTGATTGACCTGTGGAATGTGTTGTGTCAGGAGGGGAACTACATATTGGCAGGTAATTGTGTAGAGGTACAAAGACAAAAGTCGTGTCGCGGTTTTGTCCGAAGATTAAATATAACTCGTGAAACATTATGAGAGCCCCCTACCACAAGGCAGAGTGCACTAAAGGTTTAACCCTTCGGCATATGTTTTCACCAAATTTCACGACACGACTTTTGTGTTTCATTGTTCCTCGCTTACTTCTTTAGGTTGTACCAGATGATCTTGTTTGGGGGGTAGCTCACCTAATTAGGGGTAAATCACCTGGTTGTAATTGAGGGGTTAAATCAACTGTTTGCGATTAAAGGGGATGACTCACCTGGTTGTAATTAAAGGTGTGACTCACCTGGTTGTCGTGGTACCAGGTAATAGCCTCAGGGGGGTAGGGGGCGTGGTGCACGACACACGTCAGGTTGATCATGCTGGCGCGGTTGACGAAGATGTCCGGTGCTCCCAACACCTCCACCGTCGGCTCTGAGAGAGAGAGAGAGAGAGAGAGAGAGAGAGAGAGAGAGAGAGAGAGGAATATACGAATTGTTTTTAAATTTCCTCTGATGTGTCTAGTTTTTAACTGAGAGTTCACTTCAACAATTAATTTGGGCGTAAAATTTATTGTTTTATGTATATATTTTACAACGAATGTTTAGTATATTTCGCTATAATCTCTCGTACAGCGAAAACTAACAGTAAGCTGTATGATATTGTAATCTATACATACATACATACATACATACATACATACATACACCGTACATCAAAGAGATGAATGTTACCCGTATCCTTGAACCAGTCATTAGTGTTAATAAAGGTGAGGTAAACACCTGGACACTCACCTACCACCTTGAGGAAGACGTTGAAGGTCCTGATGGGCTTGGTGGTGATCTGACACTCGTAGTTGCCTTGATCACGCAGCTGTACCGACTTTATCCTGAGCGTCCACTCGGTGCTGGCCTGCTGGTGGAGCGCCTCGAACCTCAGGTCGGTGGTGTAGGTGTAGCGACCCACCGTCAGGATCCTCAGGTCACGACCCCTGATCCACGACACCTGCACAGGGAGTAAACACTAATTTCATTGCCTCTTGGTCATTTACCCCATAATGTGCAACACCTGACCATGGAGGAACTGCTGTCATTTCCTCGTACACAGGTAAATACTGAACAATATAAATGGATGTTTCTCGTGCTGGCTGGCCATTACGGAGGGAATGTACACAGAGTATAACCATTATGAGGTGGTCGGTGTTCTTGATGGAGAAGGTGGGAACAAAGGTGAGATTCAGGTCATGACCACCAAGAATGGGTGAGGGGAGGCGGCAGGTCACTGAGGCAATGGCCCGTTACTAAGGTGGAAAGCTCTCACTGTTTCCTCACTCAAGGAGACTTTAATTTACTAATCTTAAAACCTGAGTTCATTTCACCATCATTTTACCTTGATATTGAATATTGTTTTCCTTTTGTTTTGCTTTTCTTTTGTTTCTCGTCTGTTTAAGCATCGCGCAAGAAAACAAAAAACATTTTAATAAAGTTTGTAATTAATAGTTGGTCTCACAAACAATCTATGAATATATTGTAAGGCTGGGTGATGATTAATGGTGGGTGAGGAGGCTGGCTGTAAGAACACAACACGGTATAATGAACGGCCTCACATTAATGACTCGGGTCTACATAAAATATCCTGAACCAACAACCAACACCTTCACTGTTTATTGCCAGCGAGATAATGTCTCTTAGTATCATGTTGTCTCTCTCTCTCTCTCTCTCTCTCTCTCTCTCTCTCTTGTTGTGAGATAATTCCTTCCCTTAATGACTTACCTGTGTATAGTTGACCACCTGAACACTGTCATCCAGAGGAGATCTTACCATATAAATGCATTACGGTCGTACTTCATCCTACACGTCATCCTACACGTCATCCTACACGTCATCCTACACGTCATCTCTCTCCCTCGCTGTACAGTCAGTCAATGTCTCAGTAATATATTAAGTTAATATCTTCCCTTAATGAGTCACCTGTTTATGGACGAACACCTGAGCACCGCCATCCAGTCCTTTACAACTGAGGGAGATGTTACGGTGAAGAGGTGTGTTAAACCTGTACACACACACACACTCTCTCTCTCTCTCTCTCTCTCTCTCTCTCTCTCTCTCTCTCTTTCTCTCTCTTCCATCAAGCTCAGTCCCTCCCCTTTTTTCCCGCTTTAATCGCCCTTAAAGACACATCTCCGGTCGATTTAGAGTTAACACGTAGAGAGTCTTACGATCGAGTTGTATCCTGTAAAAAAAAAAGGGTGGAAGGGTTTTATCCCCTGCCTAAATCTCTCTGTGTGTGTGTGTGTGTCTCGGCAGCTTCTCCCTTGTGTTGTCTGGAGGTACAGCATCGTCTTCCCTCCCCTTGTGTGTGTTGTTGTACGCGTGAAGGGATGTGTGGAAGATCTCCGCTTAGTGTAGGTCTTTGTTATACATTGCTTTGTAGAGTAGTGGTGGTGGGGTCTCTCTCTCTCTCTCTCTCTCTCTCTCTCTCTCTCTCTCTCTCTCTCTCCACTAATTCTCCACCCTTCCCCTTCCTCCTTTATCCATTTTAACTTCCTCCCTTCCTGTTTCATTACTTTTTTCCCTCATTACGTGAACACCAAGCAACTCGCATTTCTCTTCATCTCTTCTTCACCCCTCCTCCTCCTCCATCCTCCTCCTCCTCCTCCTCCCCCCTCCCCCTCCTCCTCCCCTCCTCCTCCTCCTCCTCCTCCTCACCTAACTCCACTCTTCCCAGTATATATACCAACTCAATTTCCAACTCCTATATCACTAAGTAAATAAAGACCATTTTACGATGCACGAAAATCCCCCGGAAAATTTTTAGAGACCCACAAAAATGTCAGGGAAAAAAAAAGGCTTCGTAATGGTTCAGTCTTGTTCTTATGTTGTATTATTGTGGTTTTACTGGGGTAGTTTTATTTGTACTATTTTTATGAGTTATTTTGGGGTTTTTGATTGGTGTGTGTGTGTGTGTGTGTGTGTGTGTGTGTGTGTGTGTGTGTGTGTGTGTCTTCTCTGTCTGTCTGTCTCCTTACGATACTTCCTCCCTTTATTTATATCTTCCTCCTTCTCCGTCTCTCTCCTCGTTCCTTCCTCACTCCCCCTCTCTCTCCCACCCTTTCTGTCTCTCCACCTCATTTCCGTCTCCCAACCTCCCTACACCCCTCTGATCAGCCTCCCATTCTCTCCTTGCTCCCTCCTCCTTCCTTGCCTCTCTCCCAACATCCCTCTCACAATCCCTCCCTCTCCCCTCCCTCTCCCCTCCCTCTCCCCTCCCTCACCCCTCCCTCTCCCCTCCCTCACCCCAGCCTTACCGACTTATCACTGCTGGCGGCGTGGACAATACAGGTGAGCGTGGCCGTCTTGCCCAGGTAGGCTGTGTAGGTCGGGGCCATGGAGGCATCAAAGTATGGCTCCTCATCCTCCTCGTCCTCCAACGTCTCCTCCTCCACCTCTTCCTCATCCTCCACTAGGGCACCCGTCAGTTTGGTGTGGGTGAGGAGCGGAAGTTCTGTCACTCCTGTCAAGGGGTAGGCGGCGTCAACTTCTTCAGGACCACCGCAAGCAGTCACCGTCAGTAGACCTGTAGGAGGAGGAAGAAGGGAGAATGATATGCGTTAAGAGGGATTATATTTCTTCTTAATGGGTTCATACTTAAACCATCGTTCTCAAAGGGTTATACCTTAAACCATCGTCATCAAAGGGTTATACCTTAAACCATCGTCATCAAAGGGTTATAACTTAAACCATCGTCATCACAGGGTTATACCTTAAACCATCGTCATCAAAGGGTTAATAAACTTCTCCGAGTGATACCTACAAGTCCACGGGTTTGACACATCTTCACTCCCAGATTAACGAAACCCGGAAATATTAGTGTTTACAATTTATGAAAAGGTTTATCATCTCGCAGAATAACAACGTGTCTCATTTACCCAATTTGCTAATGACGTCATACGAGGGAGGAAATGAGACCTAACAACTAATTACTTAAATAATACTATTTTCGTCACCCTTATTTATTACAGATAATTATTTTAAAATTGGTTAAATTATGGGAAGGCATTTAGGTGATATTGACGAATCATCATTATTAATTATTGGTTTTTTTATTATGTACGTTAATAAAAAAGGCATCTGGGAACCCCTTCATGAGTCTCAGGGTGGGAAAGGGGTTGACCAGGGCTCCCACTTTGGGGGAAAATGTTCCTAGATCGGGAAATTTGATTGGATTTAGGGAAATGGCAATTTTGGGGTCACTTACGGGAAATTTGATTATTATGAAAGAACCTCTGCTTATTATTCCAAAGACTACAGTTCCATTAAGTTTAACAGTGGTTAGTGAATTATATACTCGAGCCATTTTTTTCTAAAACAGTAAAGTTCTCCATTATAAGTAATTTACTAGTTTACTGCCCCTGCTAGTGTGTGTATCAGAGAGAGAGAGAGAGAGAGTGTGAGTGTCTTAAGGTGAGTGTGATTGTCTTAAGGTGAGTGTGATTGTCTTAAGGTGAGTGTGATTGTCTTAAGGTGGGTGAAGTTGCCTTAAATGCGTGTGATTGTCTTAAGGTGAGTGTGATTGTCTTAAGGTGAGTGTGATTGTCTTAAGATAAATGTCACTACTTTAATTTAAGAGTCACTGTGTTTAAAACTAAGTCTTAACCCAAATTTCGACCTAACCTTTAACCAATTTGGACGAAGGTTATCCGGTGTCGATATGAACTACACCGTGAAGCCTTAACCCAATTTGTAGCTAACCTCCTTTACCCGTTTTGGACAAAGCTCTCGTCATCCACTTTGGACCAAACCTTCACCCAATTTGGACCGAGACTCAAAGTGCGAAAAATATTGGGCGTAATTTTGGTGTACGCTGATGTTGGGACGGAGAGGTGCTGGGAGGAGGAGGAAGAGGTGCTGGGAGGAGGAGGAGGAGGTGCTGGGAGGAGGAGGAAGAGGTGCTAGGAGGAGGAGGAGGTGCTGGGAGGAAGAGGAAGAGGTGCTAGGAGGAGGAGGAAGAGGTGCTAGGAGGAGGGGGAAGTGCTGGGAGGAAGAGGAAGAGATGCTAGGAGGAGGAGGGAAGGGTGCTAGGAGGAGGAGGAAGAGGTGCTAGGAGGAGGGTGCTGGGAGGAAGAGAAGAGGTGCTAGGAGGAGGAGGAGAGGTGCTAGGAGGAGGAGGAAGTGCTGGGAGGAAGAGGGAAGAGGTGCTGGGAGGAAGAGGTGCTAGGAGGAGGAAGAAGAGGTGCTGGGAGAAGGAGGAAAGAGAAAGCTGAGAGCCAATATACTAGACGAAGCTGACAGGAAGGGAGAGAGAGAGAGAGGAGAGGGGGAGAGAAAAAGAAAGAGAGAGGGAGGGAGAGAGAGAAAGCTTCCCCGGTAGTGTTGAAGTCTACGTTTGAACAAGATTAGTTGAGGGAAAGATGGAGGGAGGGAGAGAGAGAGAAAAAGGAGGATTGAGAAAGAAAGGAGGGGAGAGTGTAATAGAACGCGCGAGAGAGAGTGAAAGAGAGAGATGTAAATGCTCTTCAATATTGTGTTTCTCCTTGTTTCTCTCTCTCTCTCTCTCTCTCTCTCTCTCTCTCTCTCTCTCTCTCTCTCTCTCTCACGCCTCGTTGTCCGCCGTGAATGAAATAAACACACACATTAACGCTGTGTGATACTAACTGTATGAACAGACAAAGAAATACAACAGGCTGAGGATAACGTCACGATAACCGAGTATTAACGACTTGAAGGATACCTAACCTAACCTAACCTAACCTAACCTAACCTAACCTAACCTAACCTACCCTAACCCTACCCTAACCCTACCCTACCCTACCCTACCCTACCCTGACTAGAATCACCGGGAAGATAACAGTTACAAGCAAAATAACTTAAGTGAAAACAGCGGCTTTAAAAACACCACAGGTCCGGTGCTGGTCGCTTTGGCTGAAGGTGAGGGGAGAACGCCACCGGGGAATTTGTGTGTGTGAGGGGAAAGTGAGAGGAAAATAAGGAGAATGGGAGGGGAGTGAGAGGGTGAGGGGAAATAGGGAGGAAGTGAAGAGAATCAGAGAAGTGTTTAAGGAAAGTGAGGGAAAGGGAAGAAGAAGGGAGGGAAAAAAAGGAGGTAAAAGAGAAGAAGAGGAAGACATAACTGGTGAAATAGGGCAGTAGTAGTGAGGTGGTGGCAGCGGTAGTGAGGTGGTGGCAGCGGTAGTAGGTCAGGTGGTGGCAGCGGTAGTGAGGTGGTGGCAACAGTAGGTCACGTGGTTGCAGCAGTAGTAGGTCAGGAGGTGGCAGCAGTAGTAGGTCAGAAGGCAACAACAGTAGTGTCAGGTGGCAACAACAGTAGGTCAGGTGGTGGCATCAGGTGGTGTCAGCAGTCGTAAGGTGGTCAGGCGAGTAGGGGGCTGACGACCCACCGTGTTTTATGGTAACTAAATCTTCTGGAATCTGGACCACACTGAAGAAGAGACGAGGAAGAAGAGGAGGGGGGAGGAGGAGGAGAAAAGGAAGGAAGACTTGCCGGACACTGACGTAGGGGAAAGGAAAGTGGAAAGAGGAAAGGATGCTGATGCAGGAGGAAGAGGAGGAGGTGGAGGAAGCAAATAACCGTTGTATAAGGAAGATGGTGGATGGAGGATGGAAGACAATGGCTAGAAGAAGAAATTTGGGGAAGGATGTCACTAGATGGAGGAGGAGGAGGAGAAAAAAGAGGCCATAGGCTAAGAAGGAGAAAGAAAAGAAAGGAAATAAGGGAAGGAGGATACTATTGAGGAAGATGAAGGGTAAGGAGAAGACGGAAGACGAGGAAGGGAAGAGAATGATAAAGAGAAGGAGAAGGAGGTAGAGCTGAAGGAGGCAGTGGTTGAGGAAGAAGATGCTACACCACAGTATATACTCCTTAAGGTGGTGGCCAGGTGAGGCAGGTGGTGGAGATCTTCCCTCCTCATACACCTGAGCCATCACAGGTAAACACTGACGAGGAAGGTGTTTAGGTGGACGTGGCCAGGTGATGGTGATTCTGTAGTGTGTGTGTGTGTGTGTGTGTGTGTGTGGGTGGTGAAGGGTGATGGTGCACACGTAGTTAGGATGCAGGTATAGTGCGCCACACGTGATGGGCGGCACCACACTCAACCAGCGGGATAGAAAGGAGAAAATCATGGAAATTATCCCACATTTTGTGCCTTATGTTTCTGTCGCCAACTTGCCCACACAATATACCTGAGAAATGAGTGCGGGGATACCTGAGACACACACGAGATAACGAAGAGTGAGACACAAGAGATAACGAAGAGTGAGACACACACGAGAATATTATCAGTCACAAGATAACGAAGAGTGAGAGACACACGAGATAACGAAGAGTGAGACACACACAAGAGATAACGAAGAGTGAGAGAGACACACGAGAATATTATCAGTCACAAGATAACGAAGAGTGAGAGACGCGTATAAGAAAATTTACACAAAATATAAAAAAGTAGTGAGAGAGACACATGATGAACACAGTCATAACACAGACCAGAACCAAGAATGAAAAGCAGATTATTTTACCATACATCTCACGTTACTGTGATTGATAAATGATTGGTGACTGGTATCGTGGTAACTGGCTAATGCTGATACGAGGAGATGAATAAATTGATTGATCAGCATCAGAGAGGAGGTTTTATGGATGGAGACATGTATACAGGTAGTGATGTATGTTTCTATATGTATATAACAACTTTTAGGTGAATAAATGAATATACAGACAAATTAATATGAAAATCAAGATGAGGAACATGATTCTGGACAGGTATGTCTGTCAGGTAGGGTTCAGTTATTAAAAGTGAGTAATTGAACTAGAGGGCAGTTATGTTTCCATTAACCTGAATAGATCGTGTGTGTGTGTTTATATATATATATATATATATATATATATATATATATATATATATATATATATATATATATATATATATATATATATATATATATATATATATATATATATATGTAAACTCCCTGAGCTACAAGGTCCCTATGCCGAGGGTAATTAATTACATCAACAAAGGCAGAGTGTGGTGGTGGCGGTGTTGGTCGATCTCACAACACAACACACAATAGGCCGCCACTATTAATCTACCTTGAGGTGGCAAAACCTTAAAAACTCTGACTTAGGCGTCTCACCTGCAGCTTGTTGGCACTGAAAGACGAGAACACCTGTAATCAAGAGTCTTGTCAAGTCCTGAGACACACACACACACACTCTTAATCTTTCATTCTTGAACCAATGTCAACGAGGTAACTGGTTAACGCTAGTTCACTGTGGTGTTGAGTGAAGCGACCGATGAGCGTTAAAAAGTGGTAAAGAAAAATCACACCACTAAGACTCAGGACGGTGTGAAGGAAGACCTCAGCAGTAACACCATCAGGAGAACCAGACGAAGTTATATGCGACGAACTGGAATACTAAGAACGAGCGCCTGTAAGGAAGACCCATAGAAGAACAACAACTTTAACGCAGGTATCCACGACCTCTGGCACAAGACCCGTAGAAAATAGTCCGAGAAGAGGAGATGGACAACTCCCGTCAAGTCCAAGGGATGAAATCTGCCGGCAGCCAATACCCGACCAAGAAGA